CTAGGAGCTGCTAACTAGATTGGACGTGTTCCCTGGATATAATAATTATTTACAGCTTACTTATAAGCGTATTTATTCAAGGTAAATCACATTGTAAGGAATTGTATTATCTGAATGGTTAAATTCTCCTATGTATGATCATAAATTTTCGAAACGGCAGAACCGCGGTTCTATGTAGGGCAACAATACACATTACTTAAAGGAATTCTCTTTTTACGGTCTATACTTAATCACTTAACTGATAAAAAGTATGTAATAGAGTGAATTTTACATTTCCATGAAACAATAACACAACGATAAACACTGTAGGACTTATTCAGTACTTTTAGATGAGTAAAGATGAAGAAAAATTCGGGCTCAGTAGTGGATAAAACTGAATATTGTACTTAATAATCGCCATATTGACTAACCGCGTAGGTGGTCCAGCGGTAGGATGATCGCCAACCACGCATACGGTGCAAGGTGCGACCCCCGGCTGAGGCACTCTTTAACCTCAATAAGCAGATAACGAGGAAAAGTTAGACGTGAGGCTAGTAACCCTACCCAGTAAAAAAAACCATTTCTACCAAAATCTCGGAGCTGTAGCTCGAAGCCCTATGTTCCAATCGGAACATAAAGCAATTAAACGCTAACTAACCATTAGGGTGCCTTACCATATGAATTCAGTTTATATTGAAACAATATTGATAAAAAATATTTCAGTGAACCTCAAAAACCAATTCATGTTACAAGAAGTCAGCTTTTAACTAAGAAATGTTGATATAAGTAAAGAAAAATTTGGGATCCGTCAGTGAAATGTCAAACACAAACATTTTCAAGATTATATTTACCTCTAGGCTGCCTGAGTTTATTTCATTCAACCCAAGCTTATATGATGCTGAATTAAATCTCTCTAATTCTGAACTAACTCTAACATTCTATAGTGACTAAGTTCTGAAATGGTTTGATAAAGGGCACCAACTAGAAGTCAGTGCTGGTTTTCAGCATGACTGGTATTATTTCTACGACCTGTACTTTTTCTAGGCATTTGAAGAAATAGCTCAGAATCTACTGGGTTCGCTATTTAACGTTGTTTCAGCCTAGATTCAGTGCCGACTGGCATTTAGCGCATAGTAGCAATTTTCCAGCTTTAATTCTGCACAGATGACATTATTTAAGCTGCAAATCCTAGTTTTTAAGGTTTCGTCGAATTAATTAAGCGTCCAGTGCTTTTTGTAAGAACAAGCAGCGTTATTGTAGTGCTTAGTGGGTTCATTTTAGGTAGATAAAATGTTCATTTACCATAAAAAGTTATTATCGATGAATACTTTACAGGCAGCTTAGAATTATTGTAGGCTTGGAAAGCCTTCTACAGTGCAGAAGTAATGCTTGTGAAGTTTGAATTAACACTTGCTTTTGTCGCTAGTATTTGCTGAAGTTATAAATCTTACCACTGCGCTGCTTTTCCCGCATTGCCCGCACTGGTCTGCATCTATTGATTTCCCAGCACTTTCACCATTAGTTCAGCGCTACGTAGTGTGGAAATAACTATGCCTCCATTAGCGTGTGCTAATAGGGAGTAACCTCATTAGATAAGCGCCAGGTGCTCCTCTTAACACTGGTCGCATCCTTTTAGCGTACACTAGATTTATTTCATCACCCAAAGCAACCATGTAGCACTAGACCACAACATTTATACATGGTTTGTAATTCAGCGTTAAGCTTGAGTAGTGTGATTTTGTCAAGAGAAAGAGATAAAAATATAATGATTAGTGTTCGACGTAAGCGCAATTGCCTATAGATTGTATTGAGAGTGGTTTTATGAGAGCGCCGGTTCACGTTTCGTTTGCTTAGTAACTTTTGCGGATGTCTATGAATGGCGGACACATATTTAAAGAACACCATTCTCTTTCGTCACTTGGTTCTAACTTAAGTACTTGGAATTTGTTTCTTCATGTATCAGTCTTTGAGCCACATATATCGTTAAGAGGCTGACGGTACTGGTCTTGGACACTTTCCACCTGCATTGTGAAATGAATAAAGCTGGTTTTAAGTGATGTGTACGCGGACTGAAAATGCCTAAACAAATTACCCAGCGGCGTAACTTGCAAGTCAATTGGAGATGCTAAAGTTTTCTTTTCTGCTGTACTTTTGAAAGTATTATGAATATATAAAACCCCTCCTAAATGTACTTGATGAGTTTACTTAACTTTATGGTTGTTTCCCTATTATTCTGTTATTATCTTTTTTCTGATTACTTGGTACCTGTATTATACTAATTATGTTTAGATAAGTAAATATGTTGTATCATAATACATCTGATAGAAGCTAAGGACATTCCACTTGCTAAGGTTAAAGTCGTCCCCGACGTATTTACGACAATAGGGGTGTGTGTGAACTTGACTAATACTGTGTCTAAAGGTTCAGTAATTATGCAGTCTAAGTGGTACCAGAGAGAAACAAACGCGAGGAAACCAGGTATGCTTTAGACCAGGAAGAGGGTGAATTAATCCAGTATCCATGCTTCGACTGATTCTGGAACATAGGCATACTTACCAGCGTCCAACAATAGCCGTACTTCTTAACCTCAAGGCAGCATTTGACTTCAATTGAGAGGTGATGTGGCAGTGTTTGGCCGTGGAGTACCGAGAAAGTATGCCGCTTTAATCGAGACACTACTGGGACTCACGCATGTGTAACAACCAGTGGTGTCCCGTCATGGATGCCCACTGTCAATTTCTGACTAATTTCATCACAGGTGTACTAATGGAATCAACCCTAAATGACTAGTGACTCAGTAGTAGACTTGTTACCAAGGTACGGTCTTGTTCACTTAACGTATATGCAAGTGACATTATCCTCCTAGGTGAAGACGCTGACAAAATAGAACAGAGTCTTCTGAACACCTTGAGCAGAAATCTTCGAACGCTTGGTGTGCCATTCGCTTCTGTCACATGCGTAAGATGATGGTACAGGCCTGGACTGCATTGGCTCATGGCCTAAAGATAGACAGTGAAGTTGTAGAGCGTGTTGACTACTCCACCTTTTTGGGAAGTTGCATCAACCAACGCCAATGGGTTGATCGCTGACGAAATCTCAGAACGGATACAGAAGGCTCATTTGGCATATGTCAACTCACGCCATTTCTGGCGTAAACACGATATCCGGTTGCATATCGACCAAAACACATGTATACTGCTCATGTGTTCGCTCCGTCTTCCTCCCTTACGGCTGTGAGCGAGACATGGCTATTGGAAGTGATCGATATGAAAAGGTTAGCTATCTTTGATCATACGTTGGTGTCTGCATTCTATCTCCTGTGTTAGGTGGTCTAGTAGGGTGAGTGATATTGAGGTTAGGCGCCGAGTACTAGGTAAAGAGAGGAAATCAGTCGATGAGGTCGTGAAGTTGCATTGACTGAGATGGTTAGGACATGTGTTACGCATGCCTAGCCACCTCCTTCCTGGGCGGGAAATGTTAGCTGACATAAGATCAGTTTGGAAAAGAGTTAGTGATGGTCAAACTAAAACATGGCGTCAGTCAATGAAATCCATAACAGTTAGTTTAACCCACGTAAGAAGATGTAGACTACCAGTTTGGTTGGGGTTCTCAGGATGGTAAACATCAGTGGCTGGAGACAGTTGGTGATATGGCTCAAAATCGTTCTCAGTGGCGCAGAGGCATTCACTGTTTGAAATCTGTCATATCTATTGTTCTGATGATATTAGATGGTTGGAGGCAATCGGTAGGAAGCCTTGGACTTCAGCTTCGTGTTAGTTGGGACTCATCAGCAAGGCGTATCTGCGACCTTGAAGGAACTTATGTCCCTTCTGAGGTTCGAACCCGCGTCACCCAGTGCTGCAGGCAGAGACGTTACCACTGGACACCAAAGAAAGGACTAGGAACGTCACACTAGTTACTAGTGTCCAATCAAAATATCCATTGTTCTTCCATATCCCTATTCTGTTTACCTCATAATTTTGTCTATTATCTCTGTTTTGAAATTTTGTTTACTCTCTTCTCTTCCTTCATGTGGTATATGGAGTGTGGCTACTCAAACCTCTGCACTTCTGTGCAAAGTTCTATACTGAAACTCAGTAAATCAGGTAGGCTGTGGGCACTACTGTCTGTTATCACTGTTGTTAAAAACAAAGTACGTTATTTTGCAGATGCATGTTTTCCAAGAGAGCACGTTGGTTAGCATAGTTTTAGTTTCGTTTATCGTCCACTTACCGTTATTCTTTTAGAGGTGTTAATGCGTTGCAGTGGACCTGTCATGGGCAAAATATCACTAGTGTCAAACTCGATGAATGTTCTTAACCTCAAATAAGTGAATTTTCATTCACAACTTACCATCTAAAGCTTAATCGGTTTTCTGAGTTAGATGATTATCACCCTTTCTAATGACTGTGCATCCCATATCGGGTTCTCTAATATAAAATCAATGGACTTTTACGTCTTAACACCAATTATATAGTTGTTTTACAAAAAGTATTTCCGTAGACTAAGTGAATGGATATCATCAGTTTTTATTTGAAAAATACTTTAAGAAAGGATTTTTTTAAGTATCTATAAGATTTCAGTATTACAAGTGGTTAATCATATTGTCTTTCTTCGCAGGTGTAACCGCAAAAGTTGTACTCTAAACTTCCCATAGTAGATATCTTAATACTTTGGGATTTCACATTTGAACCTAATGTAAGCCCCGTGTTAGTGGAAATAGTGAAGATAGTTTCCATCATATTACGGCTTTGTTATTGGACTTGTCAACTAATGCCCTTAGCCACATTGTATGCACAATTACTTGGCTGTAAATAAATGGTTGATATAATTTGTCTCATTGTCTTTGTGATATAACGAAACTTTTGTACCATGATACAGCAGACTACTTTTGCGTATAGTAACTAGGTGTGGTTGTATTATTACTTTGTTTTAATATTCCAAATTATTAGACTGACAGTGATTTCTGTCTTTTTAAAATAAATTTCTAGGTGTATGAGCCGAAACACATTCACTCTATAATGCTACCTCAAACTGGGTGTAGTTTGCCTCAACCAGGACTTAGTATTGCCTCTCCACTATTTAGTGGTTCATCTACCTATGTTTGTCCTTTGAACTCTTCATCTCCTGATGTTCTAGAGAAAGACTATCAAATTGTTACGTATGAAGAACTTGAAAAGTTGCTACCGGAACCCAAACCAACAAGTCGTGTTGAATTGGGTTTGCTACCAAATGGGTGTGCGTATGCTCCTAAAACCGCCAGTCGAGAGAATTATTTGTTGTTTGCATCGAAGTATAGTTACATATTATATTTCACGTAAGTTCCCGATTTTATATACTCAGAAAAGCATACATTTCGATTTTAACGCAAGTATTTATACTTATTTTAACGCGGGGTTTCCATGTTGCAACTTTTCATTGATTGAACTATTAAAAAAGACCGACACATCTCAGTGACTCACACACAAATTTGGTAATAAGCTTTCTAGTGCGAAAGTCGCTTGTATAAACTCGTGCCTTGAGTAACTTAGGCACTGTCATAAGGTGAATTCACTTTCACGAACTTTATAAGCGACATACCACACCATAAGTATTATGAAGGTGAGTCCCTTACTTCTCACATTTTTCTGAAGGATTTTGCCTCATTATCTCATAATGCTCCACTGACAGCCACAACTTATTAAAAAGCTGGATGAGAAGTAGCATGTTGGTTGTGTCGCTTTTATTCCGTCTTTTGTCTAAGGTCCCACTGCACTAGTGGTATCAAAATTAAAACTATGTGGTGTCCAATCACTGGACAACTTAATTAAATGTGAAAACACATTTTCACAAGTGAACATTCAGTTCATCAACTGCTTCTTGATCTTTCATTTGACTATCCTACCCTATATAGCGACTGAGAGTCCTTGCAACTGCTCAGACTCAAAGATTATACTTTTAATTGTACAGTGTTATCAATGCAACTTAATCATATACCATGTTGTGTAGAGGTTTCTGCCTATCCTTAACCTACGTTAGCTAGATGAAGTATCCTCTGTCATTACTGTTCACTTTTTCTCACTGAAATTAAACTTGGATCCACCAGTTTCACATAAGTTGTTCGCACAGCGATTTGAAACTGTGACGTTTGTCATTTGTTCGGAATAATAGAATAAGTAATCCTGAAAAGTTTTTGATCGTCTCTTTTGTATAAAATAATTTTGATGACCTATGTATCACTTATTACTGCACATTTTTCTTATTTTAGACATCATTACTTTTCACGAGAAAACTTATGTCGTGACCAGACATTCTTGAACATGCTTGTTGATCGATTGATTTTGCCGATAGAGAAACTAATCAAAGCACCACGTTTAGCAGCATTGAATACCACTCACGAAGAAGTGGAGCAAGCACTACTTGGTAGTAAAATCGTCTGCGTTGAAGATATGAATGCAGGAATGCGCGGTGTTCGCCGAATCGATGGTTGTAGGTTTAAAAATAGTATATATATATATATATATATATATATATATATATATATATATATAATTGTAACTGTGACCAAGGTATACGCTTGATTTAAATGTTTTTCTTCCATCAGACTAAGTGTTTTAAATAGTAAATTTTCCCCATTAGTCTGTGAATATAGTTCATAGAAATGAGAATATTAACTAAGTAGAGTTGGGTAAAAACAGAGTGGAAACATGTTAATAATCTGAAATATTTTGCCTATATTTTTCAGTGTTGGTATTTGATAATGGAAGATAACCGAATAAAGCATAGTGAGGTTGAAGGACTAGGAAAAAAACAAAAACATCACATTGTAGTGTCACTTGTACCAGGTTTTCCGAGCTGTCGTTACACTAAAAGTATAATTCAGTTACCCTTCATAGGTTTGTGTTCTAGTTTATCGACTTCACTTGTTTAATTTTATTGCCTTCTTGCCCGGGCTAGGGTAGTCCAGAAGTTCGAAACAAAGGTGAAGTAAAAAGAGGGTGGTAACCCAAACCAGTTTGCCACAGGGTTAGCTGATTTATGATTAAGGAACATAGGAATTTAATTATAACTGGAATATAATATATAACTTCAGTCCCATTACTTTTCTGTTTGCTTCTCTGAACAGTGTAAATTGACATACTAGTATCATTTAAACGAAAAGAACTAGTATTTGATGCCATCTCTAAAACTCGAGCATAGTAATGTAGATATGTTCATTTTCGAATATGTATTTATCCTAATAACTTTCTTCTATATCGTCGTGAAATGTAGCAGCTTCGACTAGTGCACTTGTGTGTAAGAGTTAGGGTGTGCGGTCGTTACCTTACATTTTAAGGTGGCTACTTTTTCATATCGCGGTTCATGCTACTCGTAGAAATGGGTAATATGGTGTTATGTTTTATGCAAAAGTAGAGTTTGTATCAGGAGTAAAGTTGATGAAAAATAGGTAAGAGCTAAGGACCATTGAGGAAATCGAAGAAATGACAAAACAATGAAACAGTGTGTATTCTGAATGTAGACTGCAGATATATGTGAACGAAGTAGACTGAGTGCAAAGTATAGTATTGTTTTCAATGAACATTCTGATCTATTCAAAAAAGTATGCTATTTCCCCACCACCAATCCATGAAGTGGAGTGATTTATTCTGAGCTACGTATGAAAATACAGGCTGCCTGTTTAGTTTTCTCGGGTTGACACAACTCAGTGGTTGGGAACTTTATATAACTGAAAATCGTTCAATGTGGCACTGATATAATAACTTCTTGTCATTGAGCGCTTACTAGAACGTTTCACTGACCTACATCCAATCGTGCTCTTCCTATTGTGTCGCTACATTGCTGTCTTATTGTCTCGTGCGCTTCCTCATTGTTATTTGACTACTTAGACTGATAAACTTTTGTGCAAACTTCTACGTTGGTTCTTCATTCAGTATCTACAATATTATTACCTAATTTGACGTTGACATTTACCGTGTATTCTACCTAGATAGCTTGTTTATTTCTCAATTGTGGCGTCGGTGGCACAGTGGTTAGGACTCTCGCCGACCATGCACATGGTCCGAGGTTCGATCCCCTGCCGACGCATACCTGATATCTATGGTCGGCCTGCAAAATTTGGGCTGCCGATATCCATGCTGAAAATTCCATACTTGAACCAAAAATACAGTGTGGAATCAAGGTGTAAATCAAAAAAATTGTATATGAAATAATTCTTGTTGAGTAAAGCACATAATTCAGTACACCTTATTGCTGTTTGTGCTTATGAACTACACTTGTTTTAGTGCACCAAAAGTGTAGAATTCTACCACATAGTGTTAGACAATTACAGTCGTTGGTTACGTGTTAAACATCATACCTTAGCGTATCGTAGTTCTGTATCTCTGCACCGCTGAATATTCTTTCATTATATGTTTTATCCCACTTATTCCCTGATTATGACAATAAACTTTATTCGTTTGGGATTTGTATTTCTTTAACCCATTTTGTTCTTTTTTTTCAGATCCGGGGTGGTCGGTAAATCCAGATGGTGTAACACATGTGCAGCCTCTTCCCGATAACCCTCAAAATCTGACCTCTTTAATGCGCTCATTCACTCTCCATTCTCCTTACCCCATTAGTCGAGAGATTTCAAGTAACTCACAGCCTGTGATAATGACGTCTGCTGGTTTTGAAAATTTCAGACGAGATAGTATCGAATTAAATAGAGAGGAAGTGAAAAGAAGTGCTTTGATCCAGACTCCTGTAATAACAAATGTTTGCACGATGCCTGCATCGCAAAGCCCATTACCTGTCCCAATTTTATCTCCCATATGTGATCCTAATAGCTCAAGCGGCCAACTACTTGGCTATAGTAATGCAACAAGTTATTCAGTACCATACGATGGTGATATGTTGCAATGGGCATTGCAAAATTCTTTGAAACAGAATAACCCTTATTCCCCTGTCGCGCATGTTTTGGTTCCTCATCCAGTTAACCATCCGAGTGCCATGCAACTCAACAAAAGCCAGTCTTTAGGATGTTATTTCCACCCTCATGCGATCCTTCCAACTTTCAACAGTACACAATCAGGTGACTTGCGAAGTGTGGGGACATTGCCAATAAGGGGTCAACCACCTCTGTCAAGTTTTTGCATACCTCAAACTCCAAATGTAACAGATTCTTACCGTGCCGCTTATCCAATACCTGAAACTAATGATGCTAGTCAACCCTTTAACCAGGCTGTGGCAGTAGCTTTAGCATCCATGAGCGCTAATAGCAGAAATCATGTTAATGTGCACCAGCGGGCGCTGCACTCACATTTTTCGAATCAGTTAATTACTAATTCATCTAACATTGGCTCGATTGGAACCAATCAACAGCAACCAATGAGTCACCTTCATGCGTTAGCTACTATGTCTGCTGCAGCTCATCATCAAAATGTATCTCCTTCATGTATTCTTAATTCCATAACACGAACTCCTTTTCGCATGTCCACTCCACTGCCGCTGCCTGTGTACTACGCCGCCTCACAAATACCTTTTCAAACTGTTATTCCACAGAACGCCTTCAATCAATTACACAGTACAGTTCACCCCATGCACAATTACATTTATCGGGCTGTAGATAAAATTGGAAGCTGTGAATCATCAGATATTTTAAAGTTAGACAGTAATTGTAGTCTATCTGTACCGAATTTAACTCAGCGTACAAACAAGTCTATGTGCCCCCTATTCTTGCTGCCAGCTTTGCAAATACAAAAAAATAAGTCACATGCACCAAATTTAAACACCAGTGAGTTGCAGATACCTTCAGCAAGACGAGCCGCCAGTTCAGCAGGACTGACGTCTATTCATACCTCTTCCAAAGCAGTTAACGCACGTGGAAACATGTCAGGTGCAGGCACTCCTGCTTTTACTTCCCCCCTCCCTAAGACCAACTTCCCTGCAACAAAATTAACTGTTGGCGATACTACAGAGAATGTATTTGACGTAACTAGAAATACCATATCAGATAGAAGACCCGTCTTGCCAGTCACCACGTCATCCAATGAGAGTCCGTATGGCATAGTTATCAGTAAAGACGATTCCGGTAGAACTTGCAAACAGGTTGACAACGTGACTTCACCTGGTTCGGTTCATGATTCTGAAGACTCAGTTAGTTCTGGAATAGGTGATATGACTGCCGCTACTGCAAACCAGAATGACAGCCAGAACAATTCGCGTACGGCAACGCGCATAGTTGCAAAATGTAAATACACGCGGGACAAGTCATCATCACAAATCAAAGGAAAAATGACAAGGATGTGACTTGCTGAAATGAAAGTCATTGCAGCTCTATAAACTTGTTACAGCTTGAGTCAAGTACGTAGCCATTCGACTTCAATAAATGCTTGCTGAACTTATTTGCACCAGGTGTGCTAGTAAGTGGATTCAAAAGCTAGAATATGCTATCCTATACAGCTGAAACTCATTACTGGTCTGTGCGTATCGTTATGCTACATTGTCGGTTGTATTGTTGTAGCTCATACTTATTGCACACGCTTTGTTACCACTCGGAAATTATTGATTCAAAATCTCAATGACAGTGCTGATAATGTTCGCATCTGCAATATCGTGCTCTCTCAGCTGCCTTTTCATCATTCATTTAGAAATATTATTTAGTTATTTGGTTTTTTTCTGATCTTATTTGTACATACAATTTCTTTCTACTAACTAAACATTTACTTCTGCGTAAGCTTTTATTGTTTTGAAATGTATATTTCGTAATTTATTAATACATGAACAAAATTCCCTACCTCATTACCACAAAAATGTTGGTCTGGAATACTTCCAATCAAGCGCCTTAGTGATATGAACCTCGAAATGAGAACCACACCAACTCACTTAACTTATTCTTCTTTCGATCATAAACACACACTTGAGCGGCTTTAAAAAGTCATAGTCTTTCCTCTTGGGGACGCAGTTGCATCTCCCAAACAAAAGTTCTTGTGATTCTTTCTTCCAACTAATATCTTTTTAGAATGATTTCTAGTATAAAATTCTGTACTAGGTACTATTTCTTCCACTTATTAAAACGACATGCATTTCTTTGTTACTTTAGTATTTTGAAATGAAATCAGTCATTTAAATGCATTTCATTAGATAAGCGAAAATTAAAACGCGCTATCAATTTAAACGTGTATTTGTCTCATCTTTTTGATATGGTGTAACATTCTGTCGTTTGATGTCTATGAGATGCACTAACCGGACTCACATTTTAGTATACAGTGTCGGTATGGTTGTATAACCGGGAACTTAGACGTCATAGATTGTCTGAATGTGACCAATATGTACGATCATATAACGGAAATGATGGTATCTTCACATCCAGATTGGTACCATTATGTCTTTCAAATCGAAATGATCCCCACATATGCGCCCATGGTACAGGTATTTGAACATGACTATGATATTGGAAGACCGGACATTCTGGTGAGAGGATAGGTTGCTGTAACAGAGAAAAAATAGTCACTTTAAATCGAGAGTTAGGTCGTAAGACAATTAGTGCCCGACACGAGAAGGGCTTATTCTTGATATTATTTTCTTGCAAATAAGAAGTATTTACGTGAGTGTGCGGTATGTTTTCAGTTTAGAGCTTCATAACATCTTATTTTAAACAGGAGGCTTGAAAGCATCACTCATTTAGGGCGGATTACTTTTATTTAGAGTAGTAAAAAAATATTTTCTGATCAGGCGTGGGATGTCATTTCTCCTATTATGTATTTATTTATTTGCTGCAAAGAAATGAGAATAAACACATGGAAATGACCATACAAGTCGTGACAAAGGATAATCGTTTAATGAAACATATGAATGGAGGTGGCCAAATATCTAGTCTTTGCATCATACGACATGTTTTCGTTCGAAGAAAACGTTTGATACTGCTTGGCAATTGGGCTTATTTCAAAGAAACTATTCATGTTTTTTCATAAAAACTTACCATTCCTACGACTCCTTTTCCTCTGTTCGATTCCAGATTGCCAGTTATTGAGAACACCTTCCAAAAGCGTTCACGAAGTTGGACTCGTTCCATTGCTAGGTTTTCCAACCTGATTAAGTAGCGCCACTTGAAAAATACGAGAACAATTAGATACAACATTACTTTGTCTTTAGGTAAAATTGTTCGAAAATTGACCCTGTAAGTTTGTGGCCAGTTGTGAAGTCACAATATCTGTATATTTAAAAAAGTCCTGGGTATATGGAAGGACAGTTTACTATTCCAGATTTGGCATCGATTCCGACAGTTTCTCACCACAAGCAATCAGCATTCACAAAGAAAAGTGTTCTGAAATCAAACTTACGTAGCGAATATCATTTTCTTTATTATTCTGCAAAGGAAATAAAATAGGCCTATTAGTATATGAATTGTCGGTCAAATTTTGTTTCAGTAAGTCGACATGCACTCACCCCTGTTATTCGGCGACCCATGTAGAAGGGTAACACTGTTATCCGAATATTTTCTGTAACTTCGCGATGCACTGATGTGACTTCTAAACTTCGCTTACGAGCTTCGACCCAGCGTCTGAGATGGTCCGTCGGCATAAATGGGGGGTCTTAAGGAAGGAAAAAATCGTATATTTTAACGCAGCGCAAATACGAAATTTAAAAGATACAACAGGACGAAGTTATTTGTTCAGCCATCAGGAAGACGTGTGGTGACCCTTGCGTGACCAGTAGTAAGTAAGTCGAAGAAGGTACTATTTATTGTTAAGGAATATATGAAACATTTATTATTTATTTATTTAAAAGCATAAAATAAACTTGGTACAATATGGCACCAAGAAAGATGCGCCACACAATAATAATATAACAACATAGATCAAAAGAAAAAAAAGGAAGGAAAAGAAAAAAATATATAAGTAGAAAACGGATAAAGAACTTCATCTGGAAGGAAGACATTCATGCTTAATAAGTTCAAATAGTGTTCGTTAACTATCATCGGGAAGGGAAGAAAGAAGGAAATTGCAACACGTTCGCAATTGATTACGATTCTTGGCCATATCCGATAACGTTTCGAGCTACCTCGAGGACCCCAACCAGGGAGTCGTGACACACCAACCGATGCTAATCTAGCACAAAAATCCTTCATCCCACGACGCCACGTCATGGACTGACCACCTCTCCGCCTTTTCCATCCCGTCCCAGGGCTAGCGAACAGAGACCTGTACGGGAGCCTCTGGGGTGACATTCGCACATGTCCAAGCCACCGGAGCCGGTGTTTCCAAATGACGACACTCAATGAATGGTGATCTCCACTGTGTTCAAGCACACGCCGCCGAACCTCAGAATTACTCACGCGATGACGCCATCGAACGCAAGCAATCTTGCGGAGACAGCGGTGACCGAACACGCAGAGTCGCCGCACATCCTCAGCGCAGGGGAGGCCAGGTTTCACAGGCGTAGAGGAGCGCAGCCCGCACCGACGCATTGTATACCCGACCTTTGAAAGCCAGGCTTAGATGTCACATTGGGGACAACCATTTTGAGGATTACTCACTAATATCTCGAAACGACACAGATAGGGTGGGAATCTCGACAAAGGCGAAAGGCTGTCGAAGGTTAATAAGTTAAGGTTAGCAAAGGTGAAATACAGGAAACTATGTATAAAAATAAAAGTAAGGTAGGAAAGAAATAAGTTACTTAAGGGATCATTATTGCTTGAAATCATTTTTACTAGCGCGCGTTCAGTTTCAATGAGAGTTCGTTGCTTTAATTCATTCATTGTGTGCGGGCTGAGATACTGCCCGGGCGCCCAGACCGAAGCAGGTGGTTTTATTAAGGGACCACCCCCCGAGCCTTTGACTTGGAGTCTAATCCGCAAGGTAGCGGAGCAGCGTCAGGAGCTGCATTCCCATGGGAATTCCAAGAAAATATATTGCACTGATTAAGGCACTCTACTCGTACTCATACAGCCAGGTGAGGGCTTACGGCGAGCTGCCATCTGAACTGATGACGACCAGTGGTGTCCGTCAAGGATGCCCATTATCTCCTTTTCTATTCAACTTCATCATAGATGTGTTAATGGACTTAACCCTAGGTGACTTCAGCGATTCAGGGATTGACTTGCTACCGGGGAATAATCTCGTTGACTTGGAATATGCAGACGATATAGTCCTTCTAGGCGAAGACGCTGACGAAATGCAGAGTCTTCTGAACACCTTGAGCCGCAATCTACGAATGTTTGGCATGCGATTCGCTCACGCCAAATGCAAGATGATGTTACAGGACTGGACTACATCGACGCCTATTTTAAAAATAGGAAGTGAAGTGGTAGAGCACGTTGACCGCTTCACTTATTTGGGAAGTACCATCAGCCAGTGCCAACAGGCTGATCTCTGACGAAATCTCAGTACGAATACAGGGGGCTCGTTTCGCATTTGTTAGTTTACGCCGACTCTGGCGTAGACGAGATATTCGACTATCGACCAAAGGGCGTGTGTACTGCTCATCAGTCCGCCCCGTCCTCCTTTATGGTTGTGAGACCTGGCCACTCAGAGTGGAAGACATGAAAAGACTAGCTGGCTGTCTATGATCATAGGTGCCTGCGCTCTATCTCCCGTGTAAAGTGGCATAATAAGGTGAGCAACATTGAAGTAAGGCGTCGAGTTCTAGGTAAACAGGGGAAATCGATCGACGAAGTCGTGAAGCTACAAAGACTGAGATGGTTAGGACATGTGTTACGTATGCCAAGCCATCGCCTCCCTCGACGAGCAATGTTAGCGGATATAGGGTCAGGCTGGAAAAAAGCTAGCGGCGGTCAAACAAAAACTTGGCCTCGCCAGTCAATGAAATCCACAACAGTTGGTCTAAGCCACGTAGAAAGATGTAGACTTCCAGGCTGGGGTCCTCGGGACGGTAAAAATCTATGGTTGGAAACAATTGGTGACATGACTCAAAACCGTTCTCAGTGGCGCAGATGCATCCACTCCCTGTGACTTATGATCTTCAATGAAACTGTTTTGTATTTCTTTATTACTCCTTTGTCTCACACCTATGCTCACTGTTTCTATTGTTTTTCTTGTACTTTCTTCTCTTGCTTCGCGTGCTACACGGAATGTGGCGACTTGAACTTCCGCACATTTGTGCAAAGTTCTATGTCGAAAACAGACAGACTGTGTGATTGAAACGTTTATGAAAAAATGGCTACTGTTAGTTACTTTTGTTTTCAACTGTGACATACAGTCTAGAATATATACAACTTTATAGTAACGTGTTTTAGACACCAAAAATTAAATGAAAATAACCTACCTACATAAATAATATACCAAATTGGGTAAGCATAGAGCTATATTTAATTTAAAATTCTGCGTTATTTTTCTATGAAGGCAAAGAAGAGTTTCCAAAATCTAAATGGAAGCCGCCAATTAAGATCCCTCGAGAGGAGAATCATGTTGGAACTAATAAGAAAGTTTATTTTGTCTGTCACGAACCAGGTCTACGGTGGATAAAACTACCACCAGTAACACCCGAACAGATAGTAGCTGCTCGAGCTGTAAGTCCCTGTATAATTTCAGTTACAGTGTAAGAATTTATATTTCGATATTTAACAGGGAACAGAAAATATTAAATATATATATATAAATATATTATGTTCAACAGATCCACTACTACTTCTTTATTGTGAACTTAAATGACGAGACCCTAAAGAACTTCACAAAAGATTGAAATTTAAGTGCATACATATTTCTTAGATATAGAGAGAATGCGTACGATCACGGAGTAGCATATGTCCTATAACCGGAGGTTGTATGCTAATGAGAGGAATTGATAGTGTCGCCCATAGTATTATACTAGCATTTGAACGTATTTCAGTGGCAGTTACTATTCTTAATACACAGCAGCTTACGAGAACACGAATGTTATTTTAATACAATAAACGCATGGGTGTTTCAGGGGTAGAATGCTGGTCAGTCACGAACTTGGTCACGGTCGCGATTCTGAGTCGACGCACCACCGAGTTCCATCTAGCTGGTAGTAAGCCGAGAAAAGATGAAAGGTTACTCTTTAACCTAGCAACCTCATCCTGTAAGAACATAAGCGTTACTGAGACCTCACAGTTTTAAGCCCTACGTTCCCCCTCGAAACGTAAAGAAATAAAAAAACTTCGAGGCATCCTGAGCCGGTGACGACAATATCAAGGAAGTCTCAGTTACACACAGTCGTTGATTGATTCAATTCTTATATTTGGGTATGTCAAAGAATACAGTGCTGGAGTTCTAGTGAGAAGTCTTCACCAGCGACTCAGTAGTAGGCTTGTTACCAAGGTACGGTCCTGTTCACTTAACGTATATGCAAGTGACATTATCCTCCTAGGTGAAGACGCTGACAAAATAGAACAGAGTCTTCTGAACACCTTGAGCAGAAATCTTCGAACGCTTGGTGTGCCATTCGCTTCTGTCACATGTGTAAGATGATGGTACAGGCCTGGACTGCATTGGCTCATGGCCTAAAGATAGACAGTGAAGTTGTAGAGCGTGTTGACTACTCCACCTTTTTGGGAAGTTGCATCAACCAACGCCAATGGGTTGATCGCTGACGAAATCTCAGAACGGATACAGAAGGCTCATTTGGCATATGTCAACTCACGCCATTTCTGGCGTAAACACGATATCCGGTTGCATATCGACCAAAACACATGTATACTGCTCATGTGTTCGCTCCGTCTTCCTGCCTTACGGCTGTGAGCGAGACATGGCTATTGGAAGTGATCGATATGAAAAGGTTAGCTATCTTTGATCATACGTTGGTGTCTGCATTCTATCTCCTGTGTTAGGTGGTCTAGTAGGGTGAGTGATATTGAGGTTAGGCGCCGAGTACTAGGTAAAGAGAGGAAATCAGTCGATGAGGTCGTGAAGTTGCATTGACTGAGATGGTTAGGACATGTGTTACGCATGCCTAGCCACCTCCTTCCTGGGCGGGAAATGTTAGCTGACATAAGATCAGTTTGGAAAAGAGTTAGTGATGGTCAAACTAAAACATGGCGTCAGTCAATGAAATCCATAACAGTTAGTTTAACCCACGTAAGAAGATGTAGACTACCAGTTTGGTTGGGGTTCTCGGGATGGTAAACATCAGTGGCTGGAGACAGTTGGTGATATGGCTCAAAATCGTTCTCAGTGGCGCAGAGGCATTCACTCTTTCTAACTTATAATTCCCAATAAAACTATATTGTCCTTCGATATTACTATTCCTTTTTGCCTCATATCTCTCTTTTCTGTCTCTATTTACTTCCTTCTTCTTCTTTGGCTTTGTGTGCAGAGCGAAGTATGGGGACTCTAACTACAGCACATCGGTGTAAAGTTCTATGGTGAAACCAATCGGTCAGATGGATTTCCCACCGAAAATATTGGTTGGTGGTCGCGTTAAAAATCATGAATCAGTAAAAGTTAGAATTTATGGGCCATTGAATGGGGTCTCACTGGCTGAATAGTATACAAGCTTGCCTTGTAACCGGAAGGGTCTTGGGTTCTAACCGCAGTGGGTGCGTACCACCGATGATTCCCAAACTGAGATAAAATAGCTGTCCAGCACTCCCTGGTCTTCAGTGGTTCTCTAAATGGTATCAATCCATGGTCACAATCGAAAAACATACATTACAGTTTGCCATGTTCATCATGCTGAGGATTGCGCTCCACCCTCTCGACATGTATAGGCTGTGACACTATCCTGCCCTGCTAAGACACGTGGATGTGTTTAAACCATACCAAAGTGCTTCAATGGAACTTAGGATTCAAAAAGATTCGCCGTGCTTAAACTAGTAATGCAAAGCATATGCCAGTCATTTAAGTTTTAATGTAGTTTTATCGTTACATGGGGATTTAGTTCCTGAAGAGTTAGATCCTTTGCCAAAGAGGTTTGTTAACTTAAGATATGTAAACAATCTAGTCCTTCCAGAAGAAGACGCTGGCGAAATACGACCCTCTGAATACTGTAGGCCAAAATTTGTGTACTAAAATATTAGATGATGCCGTAACGCTAATCAGAACTATCCCGTAGTTTATGGTTATGAAATGCAATGAGCACGTGAACTGATCGCTGGACCTATTTTAGACAAATACACGAGTGGGTTGTTGGCAAAATCATAGAAGGCAACCAAAAGCTCTCTAACTTTCGTCCTGATATTGTTTTACGTGTTGAGAGGAGTTCTCTCCACTAGGGTTAGCAAGTGAGACACGACCAATGAAAGACATCTGGGACTACTGTACTTAAAACTTCAGTATTCATTAAGTTTAGTTTTGGCTTTCCTTGAAATTATAAGATGCTATGATAGACAATGGAACAAACATCAAAATGTACAACTTTTAATTAATTATCTTCATATGCTAACTAGTGGCCACGACTTTACTTTATTAAATATCACCATTTAAGGAAACTAGTATTAACTTATTCAATCTGACTAATGAGTGAAGTGTGTAAACACGGCTGAAAATTGATATTCAAATACTTTACCCAGCTGTGATAACACCTAAATAGGAAATAGCCTATTCATTTCATCTGACTTGTCACAGTTCTTGGTATTTTATTTTCATCAGCAAAGCGTCCATATGAAGTATCCATATTGTATTGGCTTTACTGATACTTAATAACAAAACTCGCTTAAACGACACCTTTAAACACCTTTCCAGTAGAATGTGCTGAAACTGAAAGCCGAAAGCCAAACTCCATGATACATAAGATAGGTGTCTTTTTTTACTTAGAAATAGAATATTGAATATTAAGGAGCACGACATAAAAACCATGGGTTATATTTATTTATTTGATTAATTTTAACCACATACTTGTTAGAGTATAGGCACTAAGACATACACCACATAAATTACTAAAGCAGTATAAGGATAACAGGGTGGAAACAAGTTTGTATACTTATCAAGAGTATTCAAAGGAAAGGTAAATACCACATTACATAGAGAAACGAAAGGAAATAGAGACATGTTAGGCACTGACTTCGATTCTGAACCATACCTGACAAAATCTTGAGCCAATGAGTTGTATGTAAATGCAAGTAGTTGGTAATACCCGATGGGTGCCACATGTGTTAGATACATAATTTTCAAAGACTTGCACAACCGTCGCTTTATTCCATAATGATGGAAAACACTCAACCTTCCACACTTTTCGAAACAATATAGTTCGCAGACTAGTCTCAGTTTCATCTTTAAAACAACAATAAGTTATCTAGGCAGTGTGCACTAGGGCATCTGAGCAAATGCAGTTTTTTTCAATCCTGCGCTCATCTAAGCGAATCTGTGTTAAACAACTACTACGATTAGAATCACTGAATACTGGCACTGTAGACCAACTAAACTAATTTTTAAAACGCTCTTCTTAGCGTCCTATGCATCTTCGTGGGTTGTTGTTTGACGTGTAATCTGCCTAACAGACTGTTTCTTAGATATATAGCTTCTTTCTTCCACTGGTTTGAATGAAATGTTTCCAAACACTACCAAATGTAGCTGGTTCGTCCCTCACACATGCATCTTCTGCACATCATCCTTCTCATTTTCTACGTAAGTTTATCTGTATGAGTCTTACATATGTGGATACGATATCAAAAGAGCAGGATGCGAATTTACTATTTCCACCTTGTGATTCCAAACAGTGTTTTTCCATATTTCCTGAAGCGGTCGGCTAGTCGTGAATCTAAATAGGATCGACATTTATCTGCAGTAGTCAGTTCAAGCGAATAGCTCACGCCGATCTACTTAGCATGTTTACGATTACTACAACGCAGAAGAACTTGTTACATACGACAGAAGCGAAGACAGTCATGTTATCAGTGGATGATAGCAATGTGGCTAATTTGAAACCCACACCTGAGTGGCACGCAGAAGACATCCGGCACCCTACGGATATCACTGCTGGAAAACGGTGCTGCTTAAAAATAGGTTATGGACTATGAAGAGTGGAAGCAGACAAACTCCAGTTACAAATTCCACATAGAGCACTGAAACTATTCTCCTGTAAGCCTAGACGACCGATTTGTGCGTGGACGTCCTCAGCTAATACCAAAATATCTGTCGATCAATCTTGTTTGAAGTCAACGCTAATGGTAAAATTGATCTTTAATTAGATCCGGATAGCATTTCATGTGTGCATAGGTAGAGATGAAGCCATTGCTTTCCTAGTTATTCGCTTACTACCCTAGTATCGGCTATTTCAACAGAGAATAAGACTGGTAATGAGGATCCAATCAACTAACTCAACTTCGGCTCAATGGTCCAGTACAGCAAAGACGCAGACTAAACTAGATGCCATTGCTGCAGTGCCACCTGATAGATATGCGTAAGATGTAGCTTTTCAGCTGACAAATGGAGAATTTGCTTGAAACACCTTACTGAAACTTTACTTGCATGTCTAGAAGGTACCGAATTTATCAACAGTGAGGTCTTCCAAAAATCCATCAGTTTGTGAAGGGTGTAGGTGGTAGAAGTGGACCCGACACGTGGTGTCACAACAATCACGTTAACTATTCCACTAGAAACAAGCCTCTAGAAAGCAACTTATCGACTGCTAAAATTTCGCACAAAATCAGCAGATGAAAACATAGCAATTAGCAAACGTAAAGTTAGTAGAAAAAATTAGACATTACGACTCAGTTATAAGAAATAACGTGGTGATAGTGGACTAAATAATATATGATTCATCGAGTTACGGGAAAGCAAAGATGTGCCTTTTATTGAATTATCGTTCTGCCGCTAAGAACAAAGCAGATGGTTATCTCAAAGAATCCCCTAATGACCTTTAGACTAAGTGGATCAAGTCCAGCAGGTGCATTTTCATGATTACTAGTGACTAAGACAGTTTCATTCACCATTCGTACAATTATGAGTTCGGAGTTCATCTGCACAGTAGATTTGGAATCAGTGTCTTACAACTATTAAGTCAACTCCCCATATCCAGTAGTCATGAACGCTTGGCTGCGTGGTAGAATTAAGAGTGGAAAAAACGGAGCCAACATCATACTCAGCCGTCACAGGTGATTTATAGTAGAGCCACAGTCATAAGTCACAAAATACTGTCAAAGTTAAAATATATCACATAAAAAGATATCCAAAAAATTACCTCTGTCTGGAGCAGAAATTAGGAATTCACTCATGTATTCATTTCGAATCGGCAAGGCGTCCTGAGGAACATATGGAATAATGTCATCGTGAAAAACATAATCCATTTCTGAAAGTGAGTGTTTTTAATTTGTACAAACCTGAAACTATATAAATGGCGTTAAAAGCCCGTTTATCATCTGGTAGGAAGGTAATCCCAGGTTTAAGAGCACAATTCTAGAAACCTAAGTTTAGTACAAAATCCGACGTACACATAATTCAATATCCCTCTGATCAGTTAAGACTTGATATACATTGACTTTGGATTCATCTTTCTTCCTGAATTCCGGAAATTTCTGTTCTCTAATTAAGCTGAAATACGACAAACATAAAAACTTACACTGCTTCTATGAACTGCAGATTTCGATCAAATAATCTTCCCTTCCAACACTGCAGTATGATACCACGATAACCGAAATGTTTGTGTAAAAACATTTGTCCAGGTACATAAGACTCCGATGCATCTTGAAGGTGACCAATCAATTCTAGACTGTAATGAAACATGAAAAAATCAAAGAGAATTTACTTTGTTGGACGACTGTGTGATAGAAGGTTTCTTTTACACAGGAGTTGTGGTGCACGAAGACTTGACGTCGGTAAAATGCAAAGACTCACTCTATGCATAGAAAAGGTAGCAAACATTGAGTGTAACCGTCCTGATGAGTGTTTATGTCGACCAAGCCCGATAACTACTAGACATACAGTGAGGTGATTTGTACTGATGTTATTATATTTTTATAATCTTGAAAGGAGCAGTCTAAATAACAAAAATATGAATGAATCCGTTACGACAATTCTAAATTACAAAACGTAAAGTTACATTAATTTCGCAATAAAAAGGATATTATTTAGTTAACAAAATCGACCAATATTTACTGATTACATAATAGTTGATATAAGTGCAAACTACAGGCATTTGCTGTAACAGTGCAGTTATTTGCTTAACCGCACTTGACCGGCTAGGTGAGTCCACAAAATCCACCCTACGGGTATCAGAGGATTCTATGGCTACTGCTCTTGGAATTAGTAGCGTGTCGATAGTACTGAAATCGAAATAATAAAACTAGCTACCAGGTTGGATCTCGGTGGACAATCGTTATCAGATTGGATGAACTTGTAACGATTAGAAAATGTATTGATACCGGCACACGCTTATAAGCAACCATTAACTAGTTTGATAGCCTATCAACAAGAATTAAAATTGCATAAATGTTGATGATTTTTTAGACAACAACCAATTAAATTCCAGAACCCACTACTTGGCCAATATGTTTCCACAATGCTATTTCAATTATTACAGTAATTTAAATATCCCTAAAATATAATCAAAACAAGATGATCCTTGAACGAACTAATGTTTTCAACAACTTATGGCTCTACAGTTATAAATCCATGAATATTTGATTGCCCAAAGCCAGTAAAAGCAAATGCAAATTATGACAGAAACCGTATTGTTGTACAAGTATAAGATGGAATAATAGTCTGTCAGTTAATATTGTCTGCTAAACACATACAAAATGTAAAGCCATTCAGAAACGAAAATAAAATGAGTAGGCAGTTGAATGACATGTATTTATAGTCAACAAAAAATAAGTCTCACATGTTGGTGGGGTGAGTTATATTTATTGGTGTAGGGGAAATATGATTACCAAAAAATACAAACAAATGAAGCACGCTGAATATAAGTTTGAGGACTGACAGATGGCAAATGTAATGATAAAATAAGGTTAGATAGTGAACTGCTATCAAATAGAGACACGGTCAACTCAGTGTAAATCGCAAAGGTCGCGAAGTAGTAATAATTATGTACACTTTATACGCATTCAATTAACAATGCTAACTGATGGATTATTATTCCATCTTATAACTGTACAACAATACAGTTTCTGTCATAATTTGCATTTGCTTTTACTGGCTATGGGCAATCAAATATTCAGATAACAGAAAGATTGAGCGAAGAAATATTTACTTTTCAATTAGATCCTCATCTCCTGCTCTACTTTAATATATATAGCGTTTTAATTACAATACAAAAGTTTGCCAATCAAGTGGCAATAAGTTTGTTAACAATAATTAAACAGTGTCAATGGGTTAATAGTTAACGAAGAAAATCAATACAGATTTAAAAGGTAGAAATGGATAGAATAAATTAATTTTACAAGGATAACACGTAAATTAAAGATGAAGTGGTCAAAATAAATAAAAATAAAATTGCATTGTATTGTTGTATTGTAATTAAAATGCTATATATATTAGAGTAGAGCCGAAGATGAGGATCTAATTGAAAAGTAAATATTTCTTCGCTCAATCTTTCTGTTTTCTAAATGTCTAAATGGGGATTTTTTCTTTATTGAAATCAAATATTCGTGGATTTATAATTGTGCAGCCATAAGTTGTCGAAAACATTTGTTCGCTCAAGAACTACCTTGTTCTAATTATCTCACTCGACCTGTTGGGGTACACGCCCCGAAGTTACTGTATAGTGGTCAATACCTTTACCGTTGAATGACGAGGTTAGAAAGTTATGAGACAGAAAGAAAACATGGCACCAATCTAAAAAGTTTCAACTTCTTTGGGTCTCTCAATACAATTTACGTAATGCATGCACGAGGTTTTGGGGTTGCTTAGAATCAGCAGTTAAAGACCATTGGTAACAGTTTAAAATCATTCACAATGACGCAGATATATTCACTCCTCCTGATTATTCAGATTATGAAATTCGGTTTTAGTCTACATCTAATTATCTTTCCTTCTGGGCATTACTGATCAGTGTTTTTACTACATTTCGTTTTTGTATTTCCTGTACTTTTACAGTGCATTAACCGAAATCATTACATGAACAGGACAGGCAATAAAAAAATAAAATTGACAACTGAACTATGGAAGTAACTGTGACTTATACGAAAGTACGAAATAACGCTATCATACACTCTGTGCATTCAAAGAAATAATACTTGTACTGAAACACAAACTAGTGTTGGGATACATTCAAGTTTCTTACAGGAAATGCTCCACGTATTTAGAATTGAACAACTGAGAAGCACCAGAGATTATTTTTACTCTGTAGCCAGGATATCATTCCTCAATAAAGTATGTAAGCAGAGATTATGGAGCCCAGTACCAGGCACATAGGTATATGAATACAAACATTTAACTCTTCATTTCACTTCTGTATTGGTCTTTACCGCTTGAGTGGTTAACTTTTAGCTAACGTAGATGTTTTTCTTGATCCTTCCAGGACCACTCAGAAGGTCGTTTACTTCAGTATCCCAGCATTTATTTTACAGTTAACCCCAAACAAATATCATTCATCTTTTACATATGGCATTTCTTCAATCACTTCACTGAAGTCTCCTGGCAGCCATTAGTTTGTAGCCTACGCCATGGCACATTCTTGCATAAATTTCACGTGTCTGTTTGCACTGTTAACTAAGATAGGCCTACCAAGCTTACAGTACTGCGAAAGCCCTGCACAACGCGGCTAAAATTGTCCCAAGATGACAGCGCAAAATAAAATCCGACAGTATCAACGACTGAAAAACAATGCAAAATGATTTTGAGAGGTGATTGGAAATTTTCAGTAGTGAATATTCAGACCGTTTCATCGTAGGAAAACCGGTACGCAGTCGGGCAAAAACTGGCGAAAATTGGTTAAATAATGATTAAAATTTGCGCAGATTTTAGGGCAGTGATAAGTGATGAATTAATGTGCAAATCTTGACCAGATGGTGGAAAATACTGGCTACATTTTGGTAAAGTATTGCTTAGATCACAAAAAACAATATTTCGATGGTGTTCAAAGTTGGATACTGGACAAATGTGGGACAAGAGAGGGTAAAATTATGTCGCCTATTTCTTTTTACTACTGTACATGCCCACTTTTTGCCACTTTCGTCAGACTGGGTAACCACCAACTTGTCGGCTTCTATCGTAAACATGATTACCAGTATGCTTTTTTGGCACATACAAATCATGACGTGAATAAAGTTAACTCATAAACTATCACCACAAGTTATAAGAAAGATCGGACATTTACATCGGTAGATATCACAACATCACAAAAGCCTGAAACCCATAAATGTCCTTGAGAGCGGAAACATGCGCGGAAAACGGAGTTCAATATCCAATATCCAATATCGTTTTTACGAGCTAGTATAAACCAATTTGATTTCTTTGTGCTCGCTTCTTGATTGTGAGGTATAGGTTCTTGATCTTCGGTAAACTTCTGCGTAGCTTGTCCCGCCACTCGACTGTCGTAGCTTTGGTTGACTCCAAAGGGAGTAGTGCTGGGATTAATTATATGTGGTTTGTAGTATGAGGTATGTTAAGACTGTTACTACTGTGATTGGAGTTGATCCTTTCGCCAGTTAGTCCTTCGGTATTGTCGACAAGAGAAAAGAGATAGTAATAATAATAATAATAGATATAATTAGTGAAGCTATTCAGACTAAGAGACAGAAACGAAAATAGGAAACGTAACAACAGTCAGCTCATTAAGTTTGAAGAATAATATATATATCGGTAATAGTAATAATAATAATAGTAATTATAATATTAATAAGTTGTCAGGAGAGTAAGACGGGAGAGAATGTAAAGAAGTAAAATGACGAGTTTAATTATCTACCCTGATTGGTAAATGCGATTTTAAGGAGATAGGCCATTTGGATGCAGTCCTTGTATCGCTGCATGGTTGTCCAGCCTTCGCTTAAAGGCGTCCAAAGACGGTGCCATAGCTACATCTGCCGGTAAGGAATTCCAGGGACGACAAACCCGCAGTGAAAAGAAGTGGGAGCGCACCCGGGTCCTTGCCCTCTGGTGAGCTATCCTTCTGGGATTTCCACGTGGAAGCCTATACCTACTCAATGGCAGAACACCTTTGTTTGGGTGATTCTGGTCATTTGTTATTTTGTAGGCAGTAATCAAATCCCCCCTAAGCCGACGGTAACTAAGTGTGAACAGGCCTAATTTCTTCAGCCTTTCATCATATGGTTTGTTTCGGAGACCAACCACTCCTTTTGTTGCCCGTCGTTGGACTCTTTCCAAGAGGTTGGCATCTCTTCTCAGCATTGGGGGTGCAATAATATTATGCACCTCAAGGTGTGGCCTGACGTATGTTTTGTACAACATTAGAAAGAGCTCAGGAGTGAGTGCACCTAACTGTCTATGCGTAAAGTGTATGACCGCATATGCCCTCGCTACATCCCCTGTGTAATTTACGCTTGTGTCCATTTTTTCCGTTAGAACTAGACCTAAGTCGCGTTCCGACGTTGTGCAGGACAAGCTTTCATTGCACAGGGTGTAACTTGCATTCTGCAGTCTACAGGTGCGCAACTTCACTACTTTGCACTTTTTCAAGTTGAAAGTCATGCCACTGGCCACCGCCCAGTCTTCCAGAAGGTTTAGGTCTTCCTGTAGCCTATCTGAGTCCTCCGGACACTTTATCGCCCTCCATATTTTTACGTCGTCAGCGTACAGGAGAGTCGGGCAGCTCAGACGGCGTGGTAGATCATTGATGAAAATCAAAAACATCAGTGGTCCTAGGATAGAACCCTGCGACACTCCTGATGACGATCTGTGCCAAGATGATCGGACTCGGTTAACCTTAGTGCAAAATTGCCTGTCGGCTAGGTAGTCCTTCAACCATGACAGAAGTGGCTCACCTATGCCTGCCTGGCTTATTTTATGTAGGAGAAGGTCATGGTGAACAGTGTCAAATGCCTTCTCAAAGTCTAGGAAGACCACATGGACTGGTACGTTCAAGTCCCAGCATGATGTCCAGTCGTCCCAAGCTGACAGTAGGTTAGTGACGCAGGATCTGCCTTTTCTGAAACCATGTTGGGCTTCATGTAGTATATTAGTCCTATCGAAATATTCCCTGATGTGGTCGTCAATAATACTTTCCAGTACTTTTGATACCACTGGGAGTAGAGCTACTGGTCTATAGCTAGCAGCGTTTTGCCTGTCCCCACCCTTGAAGATTGGAGAAAGGATGGCTCTTTTCCACTCCCTTGGCAGGGTCCCCGAATCCATTGAGTGTTGGAACAAGTCGCACAGGGGTCTACAGAGAGCCTCGGCGCACTGTTTCAGAACAGATGGCCTGATGTCATCACAACCTGGGGACTTCCCAGGTATGAGTCGCTGTAGCTTCCTTAGTACTATTGCGGGGTTTATTTGGGGAGTAGTCGCTAGGTCTTCCTCCTCTGAAATAGTGGTGCCACCATTTTGGTCCGTAACTGTAATATCCACATTGCTGTTTAGCTGTTTAGCGAAGGCTGAACTGAATGTTTCAGCCATCTCCAGACTAGTGAGATATTGACCGTTTGGGCCTACTAAGGCGCATGCCCCTTGGTTTGTCGGTTTTCTTTCCGACATGAATCGGTACAAGTTTTTAGGGTTTGATAGGAGTTTTTTAGCAAGGTTAGCCTGGAATGACCTTCTGTCCCTCCTAACTCTTGCATTACACCGGTTCCTGAGTTCGAGGTATGCATCATGGTCGGTCTGACTCTTAGATACACGCCACGTAAACCAAGCCTCCGCTTTGCTTGCAGAATACGTTGCGTGCCTCTCTTCAACCATGACGTCTTTCTCTTAGGCTGTGTTGTGACTAAAGGGACGGTATCCGAGATTGCTGTATGGATAATCTTTTTTACCACTTCCCAGTGTTCATCCACAGATAGGTCGTCCCATGCTAAGGGCCAGTCTGCGTCGGACAAGAGCCTCCGCATTTCAGCATAGTCAGCCTTGCTGTAGCACAGACATGGTCGCGTAACATCCCATTGCAAACGCTCACGGAGGACAAGATCGAAACCTATGACTGCATGGTCACTGCTTCCCAGAGGAGTCATGATCTGGACCTTTTCGACGAGTAGCTGGTCACTAGTTAGAATATAATCTAGTTTTGATGACTTTCCACTAGGGCCCCACCTAGTGTCGTCTCCAACATTCTCAGTCAGTCCCGTGTTTCGAATAGTTTGCAGTAGGTTTCGGCCAAATTTTCCCTTAGCACACCCGGAGCCAAGGTTCAGTGATGGAGCATTGAAATCTCCAGCTATGGTGATTTGGTCGTAGCCCAAATCTCGTATTCCTGTGATAGTGCTGAGCAGTAGCTGATTGTGCTCTGCCCCACAGGTGGGAGATCGGTAGATGCCACCCAGTAAGTGCTTGGTGTGGCCTACGGTGAAATGACACCATATGGAGTCTGGGAGTTCGATAAGTGGTGGGTCCGTTGCGCGCACACATTTAAGTTGCCTATCAAAGTATATAGCAACTCCCCCTCCTTCCTTATTATCCCTGTCTCTCTGACCAGTACCATATCACCTATACTGATTTCATTGTCGGCGATAGTGGGGTTTAGCCACGTTTCAGTAAGAATGATTATTTTCAGTTGAAGGTGTGCTTGGAGATTTCGGAGTTCACCTACTTTCCCTCTCAGCCCCCTCACATTGCTATATAGGCAACTGACAGTGAGTCTAACAACCTCAGAGTGTTGTGGGGTAGTTGACGTGAAACCGTCTGCTGGTGGGGGACTTGATGTTGGAACTAGTTGGCCGATTCCGATAGAACCGGCCCGTTGTAGTTTTTTTCAATGGATTTAGGCAGGACACTTGGGAGACACAGACTATTATTCTCAGAGCTGCATCGCTCTAGTGTCACCGAAGCTTGGGGTCGTATTAAAGCCTCAGTTTGCTGCCTCCTTATATTTCTGGGTCTGCTTTCACAGCATCGGATGTGTCCTCCAATTTTTCCCTTGGTCTCATACCACCGTTGAAGTGATATGGACAACTGCTCCGGGGAGTTGAATGTGACACACAGCAGCTTTGGAGAGTTAATCAATGTTAGATGAGCGGGACGAGGTAGTCGGAAAATGGAGATGGCTCCAGAAGCGCCAGGGGCCATCTGAGATGACAGCCATCTCCATTGTTGTACGTCGTGCATGTGTTTTTCACAAGCAGTGCCGGTTTCCAGCTCCGGAACACCGTGTACCACCATAGAGGTGGAAGGCATCAGTTCCGGTGACTCCCTCGCCATATTTCTGACAGCCCATGGTCTATCTTGCCGCGCTCTTATGTTAGAACTTCTGTCCAGGGCTAGTACCTGAGCCATTAACAGTACTTTTTCGGCCTCTTCGGCAGAGTCCAGTGTAACCCGTAATGGGGGTGGCTTACCCTGAGGCGTGTGGACACCCCTGTACAGTCTGCACAGTTTTGCTGAACTAATGTTCAGACCTAGTTTGCTGCACAGGTTGGACCACTGTTCCTGATCAAACAGGGCCCGTTGTTCGAGCAAGCTATCCGTGCTCACAGGTACGTTAAAGAGGATGAGAGAGTTAGACCGACTACCCTCAGACTTAGGTTTTGCCTTCGGCTTCTTGCAGTCCTTTGCATCATTAGCAACATTAGGCTTCATCGGTACCTGGACAGCCTTTTTTGTGTTGCCAGGCTTGCTAGTGGATGCAAGTGGTGCCTTTGTAATTTTGCCCTCCCCTGATGTGGATGGAACCTTGCTAATCTTCACCTTGTGAGAATTGGCATTTCCAGTCAGTAGGGCTGGTGTGTCCTTCTTTAAGTCTTTGACCAGTTTCGGCAGTGCGAGTTTAGCAGGGGGGAGCTGCATGATACTGTGTTGGGGCACAAGAGTGTGTTATTTCTGCTATCCGCAGACACGCTTTGTGGGACTATGCCAGGGCGACAAAGTGGACACACGTACCAAAACCATGGGCATGGGTTATTTCTCATAAACTCATAGTATGCTTTCGGTACTTCTTTGTCACAACGGCAGTGCACCCATCGTTTGCAAAAATTACATTCAAACGCTGAATCAGTTTTAGAAACTGTGATGCTGCACGCCTGGCATTCATCCCCTTTCCTTGATGACGCCTTCGAGGTCTTATGACGTCTTGAACGTTTCCTTTTAGGCTTGATGTGTTTCACACACTGGCCTACAGTTGATGCAGGTGTAGAATTCTGTCCTTCTGGTATTGCCTGTGCCGTTTCAGTACTAGACTGTGGCAATGCAGGCGTTGTATCAGGGCAGACTAAAGCTACACGAGTCTTTAGGATCGGTATGCGGGAAGGGGTTGAAATCCCTGGATTTTTTCCTTCCCT